AACATCACCGAAATTTTAACAGCTAAAATATTAGGATCAATATTTCCAGATCTTTTTTCCTTCAGCTGTCTTCCGTTCCCGCCTATTCCCTTGCTTGACGAATTCTTGCCCCGAATCACACTCTGTCGGCCTGTCCTAGGTCTGTGTCGATTCAGTTCGGATGTAATCTTCTTAAGCAAAATGGTTTTACAATTTACGTTAAGGCGCCATTCTGGACTTCATTTCCCGGCAACAAACGAGCCGAAAGCCGAATTCCTAAATCTTTTCTACGAGGAAATTAGACCATAACATAGTAATTTTGTCCACCTTGGAAAGACTCTAAGCCTGCGACAAGTGAACTCGAGTTCCTGCTTCAAACATCGGTTTTTGCTGCAAGGAAGTTCTTTTCTTTCTCAAATGTTCATTAAGTTCTGTCCAACGTACAAAACATTCCCCTTTTTCAACATACCCTTAATAAGAAAATATTAAAATACGGTGTCTACTCATATATAATATGGTGACTCATTTCTCATTGTGTGAGACTTCCCTGTTCTACTTTGGAGTGGTTGTTCCTTTATCCATCTAACTGTTTTTCTCAATATTCACACATATCAGGCGCTGCATTTCTTACAGGTGTTCATCTCTCGTGGTCGCCACTAACAACGGTTGGGTCGTGGATCTTCACCTTTCACTTAGGGAATCTCAGATCAACCTTGTGATTCGCTTTTTTGATAGTCTACCACTTCTATACTGGCATCATCCTACAGTCTAATTGTATCAGAAAACGAAGATTATACAAGATTGGCATATTTTCATTTTCTTATAGGAGTAGAAAAAAGAATTACTTAAAAAAAGAAGTACTTACACAAATATACAAAGGAATGTGAGACAAGGATGTGCATTCTCGCCTGATTTATTCAACATCTACAGTGAGGCTATCCTAAGTAACTGGAGACCCTAATTTTGTTAATCACCTCAATAGGTACAACATCTTAAGCGACAAGTAGTACGGATTTTGATCTGCCTAATCCACTGCTGATATCTTAGAATTAGTGAGGCACTTGACAACAAATACATCTTCAGGATAGTCGTATTAGATATTTGAAAGGCCTTTGACAAGGTGTGGCACAAGGGATTACTGGTCAAGTCCTATAGCTATGGAGTTACTGGAAGAGTCTTCTCCTTCCTAATGAGTAGGTCCCTGAAGTTGTTAATGGCTCATCCTCAGAGTACCAGGCGATCAACGAGGGCGTCCCACAAGGTTTGCTTCTCGCTCTAACCCTCTTTTTCCTCTACATAAATGATGATTAAACTCCGTTCATTTATGAATATCTATGCTGATGATATAACGGTATATGGGTGCACCAACTCTGACCTAGTTCTAGCACTAAGGGAAAACTGGCTGGTCACATTCAATGCATCAAAGACCAAACTAGTGATCTACCATTCTCCGATCAGACTCAAAGCTTTCACCACTCGTGATGAATTGATATTCCTTGAGCGCCTTATTGCGACTGAAACTCAATCCAGGCCTTGGAACTTGTACATGAGATGCTGAAGAAATAGTTAGTTTACTGTGCCACTCCAGCAAATACCTCACCCCTTCTTCTATCGTCTACAAGAGCCAGATCAGACCAAAAATCGGGTACTGCCACCACATATGGGCTGAAGCTGGCCAATCTACACTTTCCACTGTCGATGTAGTCCAAAAGTGTCTCGCTCCCCCCCCCGTTGTTGTGGGCGACGAATTGTTTTCCATCCGGTAACTACTTTAACACAGACGAGACATCGCAAACCTCTCGCTGCTCTATCGGTATTTCCATGGAGAGGGTTCAGATGAACACACCCTCCTAAATTCCACCAGACCTAATCTTCACGGCTAACGCCATGCACATTGTAGCGAACCCCGCTCCTTATTCCCTTGGTATTCTCCCGGTGAGATGTAACGTCATAAAAAACTTGAGGAGACTCTTCCAGTGATTCCATAGCTAGTCAGCTTGTGCAGTAACCCTCTATGCAACACTTTGCCAAATGCCTTTGAAATGTCTAATGTGATCGTCCTAAAGACGTATTTGTTGTCTAGTGCCTACCGATTCTGTGAAAAATGAAACCATATCAGCAGTGGACCGAGCCGATCGAAATCCATACTGCTTGTCGCTCAATATATCGGCGCGAGTTGACCAGCCTTCATTTTCCTGTCTCGATAAAATTCAAAACGACTCAATATACGGATACGCAGATGACACTGTGTTGATGACCGATTCGGAAAGAAAATTACAGTTTTTCTAGACAAGGTAGCCGAAGAAGGTGAGAAACAAAAAAAGTCTAACCAACAAACTGCAAGAAGACAGAATGCATGGGTCACCCAGCAAGAAAAATACCTAAAACATGAGTTAAAAATCGATGATACCAACATGAAGCGGTTGTAAGAGTTTAAATATCTGGGAAATGTTCCTGAAATTTACGCGTATATATATATATATATATATATATATATATATATATATATATATATATATATAAATTAATTGATTGAAAATATGTTTTTTTTTTCGCTACACAGTTCCAACCATGTTTCAAAAATAGAAGCTAAAAACCCCGTAGAAAAACTTAAGTAGAATATTCTGTAACCATGGAAACGTGATTTTAGCTGTGTCTTTAAAACCCGGTAATTTAAAAGTTACTCCAAAATTCGCTTGAAGATGAAATGGAACTAATGCTTTTAATTTAATTGCAAAATTAAATTCAGGGTTTTAGCTTCTATTTTTGAAACATGGTTGGAACTGTGTAGAAAAAAAACATATTTTAAATCAATTAATTTATAATATTAATGCTCTGTAAATTTACATTGAGCACTATTTTGTAAAAATAAAAATATCTATAAGAACACCGGATTTTATATCTTTACTGTTCTTTCTTTATATATATATATATATATATATATATATATATATATATAATTATTTATTTAAAAATATGATTCCAACGCTACATAAAAGTTCTCATGTTTCAAAACATCAATATAATTATTTGAATTAAATTGAATTAAAGTACTAAGCTCTGTTCCATCTTCAAGCGACACCGGGAACGGAACAAGCATTGGACTAACTAAAGACGCATTCCTACATCTAAGCAAGGTGCTGAGAAACGGAAAAATTTTATTAGGAAAGAGTACTGAATTGCTATGTGATATCCATCCTCTTATGGGACAGTGAATACTGGAAAAACTCTCCGCAGATGAGAAGAAAACTAAAAGCAGCAGAAACGTGGTTCGACGAGAGGATACCGAAAATTCTATGGATGGAGCGTATAAGGAAAATGAAGTCTTAAAGTAAATAGCAACCGAAGAAAAACAAAAAACAAAAAAAAAAAATACTTTTTCTCAGAACTAGAAAAAGGCAGCTGAAATTCCTTGGAAAAAATGAGGAAGAAGGACTTTGAAAAACAACAGGACATATTGAGGAGAAGAGTGATAGGGGAAAGCAACGAGCCACTTGACTAGCTTGTGTAAATGGATGGCGAAACGAGGGACAGGATCCTTAGCAAAGGGAAAATGATCTTGAATGAATGCAGAATATAGAAAAATGGTAGTAGGCATCTATTAGTTTCAGAAGGGCAACTCGTTATCCCTATTGCAGATGTCAGCTCAGGCTCGTTTGTGTTTCCACATCCACAGAACCAACATGTGGTTTATACAGTAACTATGCCGAGCAGACTTTAGTTAAAGTTTCTGTGAGAGAGCGCATGATCTGGGGTGATCAAAGTTTGAACAAGGCCGGTTCTCTCAAACCCTCAGTCACGATGACTTGTGGCATTGTGTTAGCATAAACATTGACAGCTTCCGAACGGTTTCGCCTAGCCAATTTCACTCACAATGCTGGGGTTAACCAGCAGCGTAGTTTCCAGACAATTCCCAACCGTGCCTCACAGCAAGATCGCCTAAGGGTGGATATTATCAAGGAGTCGTCTCCATAGCTGATCGACCAAGATGGGATTCCAACTGGAGTCTAAGGGTTGGAAAAGTTCTAACCACTCAGAAGATATATTCAAATAATTTTACCTATGTGGATTTATCGTCACGTACTTAGGTAGTTTAAAATACCATATATATATATATATATATATATATATATATATATATATATATATATATATATATATGAATATGCTTATAATTCGCGTAAATTTCAGGAATAAGTTATTCCAAAAAATTTCGCTTGAAGATGGAACAAGCTTAGTACTTTAATTCAATGTAAATCAAATAATTATATTGAAGTTTTCGGCTCTTGTTTTTGAAACATGAGAACTCTTATGTAGCGTTGGAATCATATTTTTAAATAAATAATTATATATATATATACATATATATATATATATATATATATATATATATATATATATATATATATATATTGTCAGACTGACTGTTTCGTTTTATATCACAGCTCTTCAATGTGGCTAGATGTCCGGTTACCTCTAGCTAGGATCGAAACCCGGATGAATTGCCGTCGGCGCACGGCAGGGATGAAGGTGAATTTTAGCGTATTTATTTTTTAGATAAACAGTGACTGAGAGGACTCGATTCGCTTTACGGAAGAGTCTTGCTATAATAGCCATAATAGTTCCCTGTTTACAAACTCACACTTCCCCCCGAAATTAATTTTTCAGGAGCCTATATTTTGTCATCCACAGACAGACTGTTTCGCTATATCACAGCTCTTAAGTGTGGCTAGACGTCCGGGTGCCTCTAGCTAGGATCAAAACCCGGCTGAATTGGCGTCCGTTGGAGATTCTACCACTAAGCCGTCGCATATATAGATAGATATAGGATGATTTCTGTTTCCTCAATAAGGTTTTTCTTTTTCTTATATAATTTCACACTCAGTAATTCGCTGTGTCTTAGTGACTTTGTTGCCTTGGTTGGGCTGAAATGATTAAAAAACAACTTTGAGCTTCGTTTGTTAAAAGATATTTCATAAAACATTCAACACCTGTGTTTGGATAGTTTTGAACAGTGGCGAATGTCTAAAGTTGACAGTTCCCGCCATGAGGTGTATTTGCCGGTCGTGTAGGCAGGTGGCTATTCAAGGAAAATAGATTAATCTTGCAAGTACTTCTAGTCAAGCTGACAGCGGTCATATATTCGGATTTTCTAATTCTTTAATTGACACTAATAAAATTGTCTAAATAACACTGACAGAAATTGCACGAGCACCTATTTGGGATTTTCATTCGGACAGAAGACTCCCCTTTATTCAGATACACGACTCCCTTTTATTTTGACAGAATAATCTCTCTTATTCTGACACAAGGCACTCTTTTATTCTAATATAAAGCTGTTTATTCTGATACAAAACTCCCCTTTATTCTGATAAAAGATTTCTTTTTATTCTGGTAGAAGGCACGCTTTTATTCTGATACAAGAATCGCCTTTATTCTGGTACAAGATCCAACTTTTTTCTGATAAAATAATCGCTTCTATTCTGATACAAGACCTCCTTTTCTTCTGATACAGGGATTTCCTTTATTCTGATAGAAGACTCCCCTTTATTCTGATATAAGACCCAACTTTATTCTAATGGAAGACTCCCCTTTATATGAGAATCCCCTTTATTCTGATATGAGAACACGTTGATACCTTTTCATTTACCCTTGTTTTATTAATCAACCTATCTATTTTACACGCTATAAGAAGCACACGTGGACTCTTCCTTCTAATTACACACACACACACACACACACACACACACACACACACACACACATATATATATATATATATATATATATATATATATATATATATATTAACATTTCCTATGTACAAATCTCATTGATGGCTGTAGACGATATGTCAGATCAGGACCTATCACATTACATATCCCTCTCTGGATTTTGTCGAGGACCTCGAGATGAACAGCGGAGGCAACAGACCATTATATGGCAGCAGTATTCCATGCAAGGGCAGAGAGGATCCACAGACGAGGCTATGTCGAAGAGCAGGGTCTCGTCTCGGAAAACAGGATCTACGGGGAATTTTTGGCCGAGTCTACAGGCTCGGATACCCCATATTAAATTTAGCCTTGTGCCACATCTGACCATGTAGAGCGGTTGGCGGATATCTTGCAGTTGGACATTCGCCTCCAGCTGTACAGGTCAATCTCTCTGCAACCGGGCAGAAAGGATACCCAGACGAGGCTATGTCGAAGGGCAGAGTTTCGTCTCTGAAAACAGCTACGCGACCCCGTTTTATACAGGGTCTACAGGGAATTTTTGGCCGATCCTACGGGATCGGATACCTCACAATAAACTCAGCCTTATGCTACATCTGACCGCGTGGGGCGGTTGGTAGATATCCTGCAGTTGGAGATTCATTGTGGAATTCACTTGACTTACTTCTAGCAGTTGACTATTACTTCTACGCACCGCTGGCGAATCTTATATGAGTTGTTCTTGTCCTAAGCATTATCGTTCATTACCAACCTTCGTTTGATTATTCTATTCAGTAACTTTCCCTAGGTTACAACAGTTATCTACTGTCTTCCTGATTACTCTTCCCCCCCCTTAGTAATGTTTCTGTTTTTTAATACTTCCACACCCAGTAACCCCTTGGTCTTAGTCACTTTACTACCTTGCTTCGAGTGAACACGATTAAAACAACAAAAAGAGACTACTTATAAAATAGGAGAATTAAAACAATATAATAATGTAATAAAGGTTATAGAACGAGTTAAAAAATCGTTCTTGCCTTCGAGCTTAGAAAGCTCTTAGAAGCGATTTTTATAAAGAAATTCTTATATCAATAATCTTCACCTTTTCACTTGGAGGTAATATTTCATGACTTCTCTCTGCCATATCCGAATTCTATTACTAATTTTGTTCTTTGCCGTCATCCTTATGTAAATCCTATGTAATGATGATTTCTGTGGTTTGGCGCGTATAACTGAAACCACGGAAAACGAAACCGCATATAAATGAAACTATTGTACGCATCGCTCATAAAATGTCACGTGAAACACCATCGTGAAAAATCTCTTCAGTTCTGAAATCTGCTTCATGGTGGAAATAGTTCCATCTTTACCACCATTTGCCAGAGGTAGCCTAATAAAAACCGGGATATCAAACGCTGATTTTCTATACAAGCACGATAAATCCTTTTTGAAGACTGGTGTAACGCAATCGTCTATCATTTCCCTCCCCTTTGGACTTTTGTCATACTGCACTAAGCTTAGTCCTCCTTGCACAACAGGCTCTCAAGCCTAAGCAACATTATCGTTAGCGAACATTACACTAAAATTTAGATAAAAAAAAAAATCTTATTCTTGTTTCCAGAAATTCTTTCTGCCTTCTCTGTTGTCTTTCTGTCCATCCATTTTCCATTTTCTTCATTTCACATTTTCATAATGATATTCCAAGTCAGCCTCTTTCTCTACCTCCCCGTCCTCTTTTTGCTGCTGTCTGATCGGCTTATCGTTTTCCTGTCTTGTCCAATAAATACCCCTGAAACAATTTCCCGCTCTCTCAGATTGTCAACAGAGCCCGGATGTACCAATGTGATCGATAGTTGCTATAGTAACAAGTAACGGGCCTGGTCGTATAAATACCACTTTATTCGACCAAATGGAATTGATATGCGTTTTAAGCAGCCGCATAGAATTCTATGGCGATACAAACTTTCACAGTGACACATGCACGCGCACAATTTTCAGCTGATACACACATGCACAGATGTATGCATATACACACACAAAACTAGAAAAGCAAATGCATATAGACACAATAATGTGTAAATGCGTTCTAAGATTTGATTTAGGAGTGAGTTGATTACATTACACTGTCAAGTATTGGTAAAAAAATAAAAGCGTTTGATACGTCCCAAAGAACTATTTGAACTGCTAGGGAAGCTTTATTTATCTGGGATGGATATTAGAATATTCAAGAACATATACTGGCAGCAAATTGCCTGCATATGGATGGAAAATTAAATATACGAAAATAGAAAGTGTGTAAGACAAGTATGTGTCTTCTCACCGGACTTATTCAACCAATACAGTGAGGCGATTCTGATAGAATTAGAAGTCCTACCAGGATTTATTATTGGCAGCCGCAATCTTAATATAATTAGGTATTCACATGATAGTGTGCTGACACCAGACACAGAAAAAAATGATATGAACTCCTACAGAAGTTAATTAATGAAAACGAGAAGTAAGAATTAAAATAATAGCACATTTGAATAACGAAAGGTGCCTTCTAAAGTTAAGCAACATATTAAGAAACATGAAAATTTCGTTAGAAACAAAGAAAAGAGTGCTGTACTGTTACGTAATATCGGTCCTACTGTATGGCAGTGCATGCTGGGCAATCTCCTCTCAGGTGAAGAAGAGACTTGACGCAACAGAAATGTGGTTCTATAGAAGGATGCTGGCAATACCAAGTACCGACTATGTAAGCAACGACAAGGCTTTAGAGAAAATGGAAACAAAAAGGAGACTTAGAATCAGAAAGAGATAGTTGAAATATCCGGCGCACATAATGCGGAAAGAGGGCTTGGAAAATTTGACACTAACAGGACATACTGAGGCTTGTGTAAACGATCGTCAGAACAAGGATTTGGAGAAATAGTAAAAAAACAAACTTTACTAAGAGCTGCAAATGACAGGAGATTTGTGGATAGCCATGCTTGCTCACATCCAGAATGGACACGGTGGGCGCGCACACACACATTCACAGGCACACAAAAAGAGAAAATTTTAATGCTACCGTTCAGTGTTCAAAGCAAGGTAAAAACAGAGATTTATGAATTAATAAATGTAGTCTGTGATTTAGACCCCATGAAATGCCAGAAAGTCTGAATAAAATTTATTGTTTTGAGAGGTGTACTGGGCTTCCTTTAAGCTATACCAGAGTATGTGTTGTGTTTCGAAAGATCTAGGGCTTCTAGAGGGTTGATCTCGAAGGTGTCTTCATAGACATTAAGTGCATAGTCGGGCCTCAAAGCATGTCAATGGCTGTCATGACATATAAACAGGAATTCAATACAGCTGAATTTATGTGATACACACACAAGACAAGCGAAGGACACAAATTTATATACATGCCTCATCCGTGAGTCCCTGACATAATTGCGATAAGAAGATACAAACTGTCGCTGTCGAAATTACACACCCACAGGGCCGATATTATTTTGACAACGTTCAGGAGTGAATAAACAATAATATAATGAATAAAAGATTTAGTCTTGCAGGCTTTTTAGACGTTATTCATGATAACGTTACATACGTTTAGTTTGTGGGAAGACACGTCATTCTCACTGTAAAAGACAGGCGTAGCATTATATTAAAGTCACTTGACGATGTTTCCTCAGTTTTTCTTTAAATAATTTCTTTATATTTTAAACTTAATACACATTAAATTTAAAATTGGTAATTTTTAATTTTCAATTTTATTGTAAAATTTAATATTAACAAGTTTGAATGATTTCTATTTTAATCTAACCCTAACATTAAGACATTAATAATTGTAATCAGGGTTCGTTGTCAAATTTTTTGAATTTTCATATATTTGTATTTTGATTGGTCATTGCAGCTTATGTATCGAGGTGTATTTGGTCGATTTGTACCTTTTAAAAATTCTACATTCAACATCATAACTTGATAAGACACCGGAAGTGTTGAAACGTAATGACTATTTTTGTAGTGATTTTATAACATATTTATGTTATAATTTTCGAATAAATCATAATTATATATATATATATATATATATATATATATATATATATATATATATATATATGGTACGATGGAAGTTGGAAACGGTATGATCTACTGCTTGGCACTTGTGCCGGAAGCCCTAATACGAACATTTCATAGTGTTTCGGTATCAATCTGAGGGCAGTGAAGAGGATCTGGAAACAGTTGGATATGTTTAATTGGTGATTACGAAGGTACGGTAGCTCGGAAAACTCATTCTGATTTTTCTGTTAAGAACTCCCGAATTTTTTGGTGAGGCCCTCAGACTCAACACATAGACCTACATAAAGTGCCTTGAGGTGGTAGTGCTGCCATGTGGCTGCTGGAAGACCCTATGTCTGGCAACAGAACTCTACAACATGTCACACAGCAGCAGAACCCAGTCATGGTCGTAGGGCAATTTCTGCGGCCCTACATCTGATCACCTAACTTCACAGACTGCAATCTCCTTGATTATTATGTGTGGGGCGTAATTGAGAGAGAGATCAACAAAAGCACTCGCAAATGGTTTATTAAAGGAATTGGACATAATTCTTAGTGAAAATTCTAGCACTTTCGACCGTTCTCAGAAACAAAACGTCGGTGTTGTCAGCGGAAGATGAGATAATGAACTGAAATATATGTCGTATTTTTTTTATTGTTAACAGAAAAGCCAATGGCTTATTGATTTATTTCTCCAGATTTTACAGTACACCAAATCTAATGATGGTGTTTTAGCTTGATTAGACATAGAAACGCGTCTGACTTACGTCCTCGTTAAAGAAATTATCGATACAATATTACAATAGGCTTATAAAACTTTCTCGATTTCTTTATTAAAGAAGCTTTCGGTGACGGGTATCGATTACAAAGCTCCGTACGTAGCAAAGATCGATTTACTTCAGAATGTTTATCAGGAAAAATGTATAGGAGCTGGAACTCGAATACGTTTGCAAACAAGGATATATATATCTATAAAGTCATCTCTCTCCCCCTTCATATATATATATATATATACTTATATATATATATATATATATATATATATATATATATATATATATAAACAAAAATTTTGTACCACAGAATTAAAATATGGCTTGGAAAATGACAGAACGCATTAGGGGCCTTTTTCGTCCAACACTACTTCAGAAAGGTTCGTTTGTTGTTCTAACGAATTTTTCTAAAGATGTGTTGAATGATAAAAGGTTCCTTTAAAAGAACGGGTTCCATCATTTTCAAAGCCATATATATATATATATATATATATATATATAAATGAACATTGAAGTCAACACTCAGAGGCGACGGACTGTTTCATGATAAACGCAATCGTCAGGCCTGGCATACGTTCTGTCTCTAATATATCCCATAAACATAGCATACCTTAAAACTATATTTCTTCATATATATATATATATATATATATATATATATATATATATATATGTGTGTGTGTGTGTGTGTGTGTGTGTGTGTTTGTTTGTGTGTGTGAGAGAGAAGAGAGAGAGAGAGAGAGAGAGGGGGAGAATGATTGAAAAGAAACTCCCCATTTTAAAATACTTATAATTTATTTATTAAGTATCATTTGCACAAGAAATTGATATGAGAGGAAAACGTTTAGCATGAGGTTTTATTTAAAATTCGATATGGGCACCAGATTTCGTTACCAGATTCTCAAGCCGCCAAGAAATCGCGTCAAATGATTTCACCAGGAATTCTGGTGGTATGGAAGACATAACTTCTTGTATTCGCCTTTCAAGTTCTTCAAAAGTCTTGGTTTTGTATAGCAGACTTGCCCTTTTAACCAAACACAAAGAACAGTTACAGACCAGAGTTCCTGGCTGGCCACTCAGACATAAAATAGGGAATTTTTTTTTAATCAGTCTCTCTCTCTTTCTCTTTCTCTCTCTCTCTCTATCTATATATATATATATATATATATATATATATATATATATATATATATATATATATATATATATATATGTGTGTGTGTGTGTGTGTGTGTGTAAGTGTGTATTAATCAATTCGTTCCAAGCAAGGCGATAATGGTACTAAGACGCAAGGGGATACTGAGAGTGAAAGAGAATAAAAAGACTAGAAGGAAACAGAAACCCAATCTTAAACAGGAAATAAGGGATAATTCTCTACTCCTTAGAGGGCTAAAGTCACTAAATATTGTCATTTTATTTTTGGAAAAACTTTTGGGTCTGACCAATAAATTTTCAGTTCTTTTTATATGTCTGTATATGGCGGAGTATCGGTGTATATAAGGTTGGATCAAAAATTCCATAGCCAGATACAGTCATTAAATGAGTTTTGATCTGCTGTTTTTACTGTATAATGTCCATTTTTTCTAAGTTATGAAGAAACATTCCGTAAAATGCATGGATAAGGAAGGAGATTATATTGGAAATTAAATTGTTTAATATGCATACTTTTCTCATTAGGCTTATAGATTTATTGATATATCTACATACATATATATGTCTACCCTTGTCTACATTTGCTGTGTGCTCTTGAGAGTATTATATGCATCTGAATATGTCTCCACATGATTGTAGTAGTGCATGTCTATAAATTTCGAACAGACGTGAAAATACGTCAACGCTGTTAATAAGTAAAAAAATGCGGAGATCGCGTTTGAGCAATTCTTGTTTCCATCACCAAACTATTCGCTTGAAAATTTCTTCAGATTCTTCCAGTTAGCCAATTATCGGACTGCTCTTCTTTTGGATAATGTATGTACTTGTCGGCTAGTTGCAGATATCGACAGACATGGACCTTCTTTTACGGAAAAAGTTACTGTCCATTTTCAGATCCATTAGAGACATTTTTTTTCTTTTTCGCATTTCCCCGTAGGAAGTACTTTACCGTACAGCCATCTTTATTTGTGTTTTACTTCTCGACTCTTTACTCTTTCTTTTTTTTTTTTTTATTTCTGGCACTTTTAAACTATCTTATTCTTTCTTTTTTCTTTATTTTTTTTACTTATTCATTCTTTCCTTCTTAGTTCTCGATTTCTTTTCTCCTTTTTTTCTTTTTTACAGTCTTTCTCTCTTTTTTTATTAGGATTTTTCTTTCTTTCTTTTTCTTGCTTTCTCTCGTTCTTTTTTGTTCTTTCTTTATTTTTGGCTCTCTTATGCTCTCTCATTCTTTCTTTCTTTTCTTTCTTACACTTTTCTCTCATCCCTACTTTCTTTCTTAGTTCTCTCTTTCTTTCTTTTTTCTTTCGTTTTTCTTTATTTCTGTTTCTCTTATACTATTTCACTTACTCGTTCTTTTTTTCCCTAGTCCTTTCTTTCTTTCTTTCTTTCTTTCTTTCTTTCTTTCTTTCTTTCTTTCTTTCTGTTTCTTTCTTATTCATTCTTTTCCATGGTCTCTGTTAAACTTTCTTTCTTTCTTTCTTTTCTTTCTTTCTTTCTTTCTTTTGTTTTTTCAGTTTCTTTCTTTCTTATTCATTTTCTTTCTTTTTTTTCTTTTCTTTCTTTCTTTCTTTCTTTCTTTCTTTCTTTCTTTCTTTTGTTTTTCTTAATTCCAGTCTCTGTTAAACTCTTCCGCTTATTCATTCATTCTTTCTTTTTTTCTTTCTTTCTTTCTTTCTTTCTTTCTTTCTTTCTTTCTTTCTTTCTTTTGTTTTTCTTAATTCCAGTCTCTGTTAAACCCTTTCGCTTATTCATTCTTTCATCCATGGTTCTTTTCTCTTCTTTCTTTCTTTGCTCAATTTCTATCTCTTCTGATATATCCTTTCACGTCTCTGCCCCTTTTCATTTCTCTCTGAGTTAATGAATGACAATCACATTCTAGCTGTCTGAATCTTCTCCCTTTTAGACAGAGCGTCCAACAACTATACACACATATAGAGCCCGTTTGATGGCTGAGGTAATGGAGACTGTTCAAGCTCAGGTTAAATCGCGAATTTCGAAGGTTGTTTTTTTTTTCCAGAAAGAAGGCCTTTCCAAATTGGATGATTAATTCTTCAACACAGTCTCACTCTTCAAAATTTTGGCTGTGTTATATTAATCTTAGTGAATATTTACATATGAATATATAGGTATATACTCTCGTTATGTGCATGTAGGTATGTATTTATAAGCTCCCTTCTCAATCATAAGAAACGCCTTTAAAAATCTGATGATTATGCATGTTCTTTTTCTATCTAGAACATCTATCTATCTATCTATCTATCTATCTTTCCAGCTTCAATCGGTTATATATATATATATATATATATATATATATATATATATATATATATATATATATATTTCTTTACTTCCATTCACGTCTCTCACTTTTTTCTTCGTTTTTTTTCATTTTATTTTTGTTTTTATTAGTATTTTCCCTTTTTTTTATTCCGTTTAATTCCACTTTTTTTTTCTACTGTGGTCTATTCACCTTCGTGTATAAAAGCTTGAGAAGGAATGGTAACATCTGACCGATACATGAAAATGGCGGTTACGAGTAAAACAGCAATGGATCATAAATGGATTCCCTGTCGACCATTTGAAATGTCGCCCGTGTAAATGGAAAAGCCTGAGCAATGGGGAGTTTTATGCAATGGTAATGCCAGCTTTCTCTCCGTGAATACGACTTCTTTAAGCGAGATGTCAGTTATCATTTTTTTTCTTTAAGAATAAAGACAAAGAAGCAGAAAAATGGTGAAACTAGTTTCCTTGCAAGGTGAAGGGACAGCATCAGTCACGCGCGCCATTGAATAGGCAACAATCGGGAAGCTCTACTTTCCCATTGTGGATTTCCTTTCAGCTGCTTCGGGATTTTGTGACAATATGTAAATGAAGCTTATGTTTTCTTGTCATATGACCACACGCTCTGCAGAGACAGCCATTTTCGAAATTAGAAGTGACATCGTTACAGCTATCGTATGAAGCAATGTCAACTATTTATATTAATTTTTGACTAGTTTTTACTTACATCATGTTTTTAAGATGAATCATAGTCTATTATTATTCATTTTTGACTCATATTTATTTTCATCATTTTTATAAGATGAAATATTGTCAATTATTATTATTAATTTTTGACTCGAATTTATTTTCATCATTTTTATAAGATGAAATATTGTCAATTATTATTAATTTTTGACTCGAATTTATTTTCATCATTTTTATAAGATGAAATATTGTCAATTATTATTATTAATTTTTGACTCGAATTTATTTTCATCATTTTTATAAGATGAAATATTGTCAATTATTATTATTTTTTGACACATTTATTTTCATCATTTTTATAAGATGAAATATTGTCAATTTTTATTATTAATTTTTGACTCGAATTTATTTTCACCATTTTTATAAGATGAATTATTGTCAATTATTATTATTAATTTTTGACTCGTATTCATTTTCATTATTTTTATAAAGTGACGCATTGGCGACTACTATTATTTATTTATCTTTGACTCATATTATCTTTTTTTTTACTAATATTTCCTTTTATATTCCTTTTTTCTTAGATGTGGATGCGCGAGTGGTGTAATGAGCATCGGTTTGGAATGAGGCTAGTTCAAATTCCAGCCAGGTTCATTATATACACCTTCCTGAAAATACCTTTAGGAAAGGTATGAATCCATCTCCACCTCTTGCTTAAATAGTAGGTAATCGAGCCGACAAGCATCTGACGGAGGCCGTAGGACATTACGGTCGAAACGTTGTGATAGCAACAACATGCATGAAGACCATCAGAGGCTTTTTTTTTATTAAAATGAAGCTTTACACAGAAACAGATTGCCTCAGTTTCAGTAATTTGATAGAAAGAAAAATAGTATTGTAATAAATTGTGACGAAAAATGTGTTTTAGTATCTCAATATAGTGTTAATATATCCACGATATAGTAACACATACTTGTTCGTGAATAAAAAAGAGGAACATGTGCAAAACATTAGAGAGAAAACACTCTATCTAAACATTTATAGAACTTGAATTAGACGATATTTTGTTTAAGCAACGGGTCGGATGGGTATTAGTAAATATGGAAAAGAGAAGTGAATGAAGGTCTTACTTGCGAGATAGTTTGGCCGTACATTGTTTCTGCGATATGCGCGCTGCTATAAGTGGTGAACTAAAAATCTCTGCGGTAGATGTGATATCACTCTGATCAACTGGCTCCCATTGGTCAAGCGATTTACATCTCACGCATCAGGCCAGACTGTCACATGAAGCATTTCTTACACTTTGACATCTGCATAAATTACAGTTGACTCAAGAGGAGATAATTAAGTTTTGTAATGGTAAAAAGAAGAGAAAAGATTCGTCCAGTTTTAGCATTCTGCAGGATAAACTTGCTCTGCGGCATATAAGAGGAGAAATATTATACCAAGATTTTATATTTTCTAGTGCATGTGGTTCTACAGAAAGATGCTGAGGATGCCAGTGACCGAACACATCAGCAACGACGAAGTTTCAGAAAAACGAAAGGAAACAAAAAGAAAACTTAATCAGAAAGAGACAGTTAAAATTTCAAGGGCACATAATGAGGAAAGAGGGCTTGGAAAATCTAATACGCATAAGAAAGATTGAAGGTAAGAGGGATAGAGGCAAACAACGCTTAACCTACTTAGCGAGATTGAGTAAATGAATGGCGGAGATAAGGAAAAATAACAAAAAGATAAAATTTATTAAGGGCTACGAAGAACAGGAAATTGTGGAGAGCCATGATCGCCCATGTCCTGAAGGGACACGACATATTAAGAAAAAGTGGAACATTATACAATCGAAACGGATATTAGGTATTATTTATTACTGAACTCGACGACACTGGGACCTCGGAAACAAAACTATGAATATGTCTGAAATTCAACATTGCTAAAGAGGTTTATTTCTTGCTATACATTAAAATATTTGTAAACAAAGTTGAGTTTTTTCTTGCAGAGCTTTTAAATAAATTTGAATATAAATAGAACACAGAATGTTAAAATATTTATGACGAAGTTTTCCTTGTATAGATGTTTATTTAAAAAAAATGGCGCCATGTGTAAAGTAACTCTCTACTTTTTCTTTTTTTTTTTTAAAAAAAGGAACATGTCATTTATTTGCACAAACAGCTACCCAAAATAGCTGCTAGGCTGATGTTCAGCAAAAATGCTTTTGTGGAAGAAAAGTGGAAAGATTAGAGGTGTCAGAATTGACCAGGTCAACTATGAAAGTTAAATCCACGATCTGTTCGTTATATCACGAGATTGATCGATAAAGACAACAAGAAAACCAGCTACGGATGTTGTTAATGAAAGAAATTATATGCACGATGTATATATTTCGATTACAACATCTACGCGCCTCTTGAACAAGCTTACATGCCAGACGTCCTCATAGGATCTACTTTATGGGCCTTGTTCCTTCAAGACATGGTTTTCCACAATTTCTTGTCCTTCGTAGGTCCTAATAACTTTTGTCTTTTCGTTATTTCTCCGAAACCTTGTTCCGACATCCATTTAGCTAATTAAGTAGATTATGCGTTTCTTTTCTTTATCCCTCTTGCCTTCAATCTGTTCTGTGAGTATCAGATTCTCTAAGCCTTTTTTTCTCATTATCTGCACTAGAAATTTCAACTGTCTCTTCTTCATGTTAAGTATAAGTCTCCTTCTTGTTTCCCTTTTTCTCTGAAACTTGTTCGGTTCATTGTATCCTCAGTGTCATTTTATAGAACCATATTTCTATTGCTTCAAGTCTCTTCTTCATTTTCGTGGAGATTGTCCAGCATTCATTGTCATATAGGAGGACAGATATCTCGTAACAGTTTTGTACTCTTTTCATAAATATGAATGCTGGTCGTTATTTTAAGAAGAAAGGTTATATGAATGAAAATATTTGAAACTTTTTCAATTCACTGAAACAGCCGTTAAACACGTCTCTCCTCCTTTCTTTCTTTCTTTCTTTCTTTCTTTCTTTCTTTTACTGAAACCGAGTAGTGTCTTTTCTCCTCTTTCTACGCGATCAAAACGAAATAGTCCATTATGAGATATTGGCAGGGGACGTTAAACACTCTCTCTCACTCACTCACTCACTCACTCACTCACTCACTCACTCACTCACTTCTTTCTTTCTTTCTTTCTTTCTTTCTTTCTTTTCTTTCTTTTCTTAAACCTACTAGTATCTTTCCTCTCTTTTCGCTTAATCTCAGCGGAATAGTCCATTATTCATGAGGTATTCGCAGGAGACATTAAACACTCTCACTCACTCACTCACTCACTCACTCACTCACTCACTCACTTCTTTCTTTTTTTCTTTCTTTCTTTCTTTCTTTCTTTCTTTCTTTCTTTCTTTCTTAAACCTAGTAGTATCTTTTCCTATCTTGCCACTTAATCAAAACGGAATAGTCCATTATTCATGAGGTATTGGCAGGAGACGTTAAACACTTCTTTCTTTCTCTCCCTAATTCTCTCTTTCTCTCCGTCTCTCTGGAATCTGGTAGTGTCTTTTCCTCTCTTTCCACTTCATCAAAACGGAACAGTTCATTATTCATGAGGTATTGGCAAAGCCTAAATGGTGTTCAAACTCAGGCACTAACAAAGTACCATATAGATTGCATAAAATTCATTAAATCCTTCTTTTGACTTTATTTTTTGTCTGGAGGCAAATAGTCCAATGAAAAAAATACTGTAATCGAATGGAAAATATAAAGCAAGAGTTAGCTTTGAAAAAAAAAAAAAAGAAAAAAAAAGAAGTTTAAATCGCAGTTACTATCGAATTGTTATTGATGTAATAAAATGTCATCCTTGTCAAATTTAGACAGTTTGGCATTTAATTCCTTTTTTTTTATTTGT